CCAGCTTTTCCCACCTTGCCCGCCTCCCCCTCTCCTCCGGTCCCGCACACTTTTCCTTCCCACCCTATTCCGTTCCATCGAGCCGGTGCTTGTAGCAGCTCGCCTCACCTCTCGTTGACGTGCCCTTCTTGCCGCACGTCCTTATGCTCCCCCCTCCCGTCCCCCCCGACAATATTATATACACATTCTTCACTCACCTTTCGCGTTGTATTATTGAAATTTATACCGGTATCCGCAGCCACAACTGCTTCGAGCGTGCGTTGCTACACTGTCATTATCTTGAGCCCAAGAAAAGAAGCTTGCTACGCCCGTATTTGATGCCTTCCTACCTCCGGCAAAAATGAGAATATTGGAGGAAAACGCCTCACTCAGCGGATTAATACATACAGTGTTCGGAGATGGTCGGGCTTGAATGTTTCTCCGTGTTGTCCGCATCATCAAGTTGGCAACTACCGATATAGAATACTACACCATGGAACAGCGTTTTCTATTCACAGTTTCTAACGGGTGGTATTCTGTCAGTTTAACGGTAGCTTATGTTATCCATGTGATAAGGTGATAGTGCACGTACAGGTACGGGGGGGTGATGACGAAGGGTGTGAAATAAACTAGGAGGTATGGAGCAGTTGTGCGCTAATAAAGGGTATGTGTCAATTTCTTTTCGGGTGCGGGCGGTGTTGTGCGGCAGAATTACAGTGTTCTCTGGAAGTACATCCATTCCAAAACAGACATACACGTCGACGGCTGAGGCCGCGCAAAGGAGATAAAAAAGTCTCTCTAAGATTTGCAGCCAAAGCTTGCCGACGACGCCGATTTGAAACAGACTGTTGAGAATCATATAGAATCACGACCTCATCATTCCTCTCGACTCTATCTTGTCCATGCCTACACTCTCACCAGTGAAAATACCAAGTTTTCTCTGGATTAACCCCACAATTCATTCCAAAACAGACATGTCGACGGCTGAGGCCGCGCAAAGGAGATGGAAAAGTCTCTCTAAGACTTGCAGCCAAAGCTTGCCGACGACTCCGATTTGAAACAGATTGTTGAGAAACAAATAGAATCACGACCTCATCCTTCCTCTCGACTCTATCTTGTCCATGCATACACTCTCACCAGTGAAAATACCAAGTTTTCTCTAGATTAACCCCACAATTCATTCCAAAACAGACATACACGTCGACGGCTGAGGCCGCGCAAAGGAGATGGAAAAGTCTCTCTAAGACTTGCAGCCAAAGCTTGCCGACGACTCCGATTTGAAACAGATTGTTGAGAAACATATAGAATCACGACCTCATCCTTCCTCTCGACTCTATCTTGTCCATGCATACACTCTCACCAGTGAAAATACCAAGTTTTCTCTGGATTAACCCCACAATTCATTCCAAAACAGACATGTCGACGGCTGAGGCCGCGCAAAGGAGATGGAAAAGTCTCTCTAAGACTTGCAGCCAAAGCTTGCCGACGACTCCGATTTGAAACAGGTTGTTGCGGAACATATAGAACCACGACCTCATCCTTCCTCTCGACTCTATCTTATCCACGCACAGACTCGCAGCCGTGAAAAGACCAAGCGTTCTCTGGAAGAATCCTACAACCGACCCCAAAACAGACTTGTCGACGGCTGAGGCCGCGCAAGGAGATGGAAAAGTCTCGCAAGACCTGCAGCCCAAGCTTGCCGATGAATCTGATTTGAAAATGATCGTTTCAGTATTCTACCCCGAGAGTATTGTCCCCAACTCCTCGGAACGGCAGGCCCAGAGGGTGCGGAGGGGGTCTCAGCCTTCACGATACGTTGATTGGTCTCAGTTGTACGTGTGGTCTCATGCATTGCTGCTGAGGGAGTCTCAGCAGGTTCCACATCATGGCGGCACTCGTTGTACAGAAAATAAATTCGTGATTGAGCGTTGGGCCACCGCTGGATTCTGACGCACAGCAGTCTGAGCCTCGGTGCGATGGAGTGTGGTGTTCTATGAGTTTTCGTCCCCCGAGGTTTGATAATGGCAAACAAAAACAATGCCCTCGCCTGGTGTGAGCCGTGATGATGACGGTCGTTCTTCATGGCCTTCAGCAAAACGCAGGTTTGGATCGATCCCCAGGATGTTACGGTCATGGAGGTGGCGCCCGGAGCACCCGCCCGGATGCATATCAGCGAAATGCATCGTAGTAGTTGATCGCTGGCGCACGGAACTGCCTACAAGAGACGTGATGAATGAAGGGTGGGCCCAGGTAG